AAAAAAAAAAAAAAAAAGATAGAATCTCATTTTATCACCCTTGGTAGAGTGCTGTGGCATCATAGCTCATAGCAACTCAAACTCTAAGGCTCAAGAGATTCTCTTGCCTCAGCCTCCCAAGTAGCTGGGACTACAGGCGCCTACCACAATGCCTGACTATTTTTTAGAGACGAGGTCTCGCTCTTGCTTGGGCTGGTCTTGAACCCGTGAGCTGAGGTAATCCACCTGCCTCAGCCTTCCAGAGTGCTAGGATTACAGGCGTGAGCCACCACTCCCAGTCCCATATCTTATTCTTTTGAACCAGTCAACCTATGGTACCTCAAGCTTGTTCTTAGATGAGGATATATGTACTTTCTTTTTCCACTTATACATATATATATATATTCTTTTTTCTTTTTTTTAATGTAAAAGAGGTTGTGTCTTGCCATGTTGCCCAGGCTGATCTCAAACTCCTGAGCTCAAAGAATCCTCCTGAAAAGCTAGGATTATAGACATGCACCATCATGCCCAGCTTCTTTTATGACTAAGTCCTTTTCATCCTTTAGGTATTAGCTTCAATGTTAGCTGACCACCTGTCTAAAGTAGTTCTTTTAGCATTTTATGCACATTAGAATGTTTATCCCAAGCCATTCTTATTTAGCTATTTGTGGTCTGTCTCCATACTATGGTGTAAATTCTGTGAGGCATGGGCTACATTTATGCTCTTCTTTTTGCTCAGGAAAGTGCCCAGCATGTAGGAGGTGCAGAATAAATGTTTGTTAAATGAACAAGTTATCTGATTACTGACCTCTGTTCTGATGCATGGTCTGCTGAGAAAGCGCAGAGAACGGAGGTGGGTGGAGTGCCTCTGTATTCAGGTTTCCATATCAAGCAGGGTCTTACATGGTTACCTGGTAAATCTACTTCCTGGCTCCATCAGCTCCCTTCCAAACTTGTCTAGCCTTTTAAACTTCTACCCCCTAAAGTCTTGGCTTCTAGTTTTGTCTTTCCTCTCCTTTCATTTTCCATACAGCTACAGAATGTTCTTTTTTTTAACACATCTTATCTTTCACCCATTTATTCAGTGTTGTTGGTCATCTATTGCGTGCCAAGAACCAGGTTGAACTCTGTGAAAAAAGTGCCAAGCAGAAAATAATCCTTGCTTTAATAGGACTGCCACTGTCATAGGGAGAGGCCTCCTGAGGTAGTAACCACATAAAGTTGTAATAAATATCATGCATTTGGCACTTACTTGTGCCAAGTGCTATTTTTTTTTTCTTTTTGAGACAGAGTCTTACTGTGTTGTCCTTGGTAGAGTGCTGTGGCGTCACAACTCACAGCAACCTCAAACTCTTGGGCTTAAGCAATTCTCTTGCTTCAGCCTCCTAAATAGCTGGGACTACAGACACCTGCCACAACGCCTGGCTATTTTTTTGTTGCAGTTGTCATCATCGTTGCTTAATTGGCCTGGGCCGGGTTCGAACCCGCCAGCCTCAGTGCATGTGGCCAGCACCTTAACCAGTGTGCGACGGGCACTGAGCCAAGCACTGTTGTTTTATGTGCTTTACAGAAATAAATTCATGTTGTTTTATGTGCTTTACAGAAATAAATTCATAAGTTCATCCTCATGAACACCTCATTAATGGAGGCATTAGAGACATGCCCCAAATCATAGCTGATAGGTGGCAGAGCAAGTCCATCCCCCAGCCCTGCTTGTGTCTCTGTGTAGTCCAAAGTGATGAGAGTTTTATTTTTTGCGACAGAGTCTCACTTTGTTGCCCCTGGTAGAATGCCATAGCATCATATATCTTATAGCAACCTCAGACTCCTAGGCTCTAGAGATTCTCTTGCCTCAGCCTCCCAAGTAGCTAGGATTATAGGCGCCCACCACAATGCCCAGCTAATTTTTTTTTTTTAAGACAGAGTCTTGGCTCTGCGCCTGTGGCTCAAGTGGCTAAGGCGCCAGCCACATACACCTAAGGTGGCGGGTTCGAATCCCCAGCCCGGGCCCGCCAAACAACAATGATGGCTGCAACCAAAAAATGGCCAGGCGTTGTGGTGGGCGCCTGTAGTCACAGCTACTTGGGAGGCTGAGGCAGGAGACTCGCTTGAGCCCAGGAGTTGGAGGTTGCTGTGAGCGTGATGCCATGGCACTCTACCCAGGGGGATAGCTTGAGGCTCTGTCTCAAAACAAAACAAAACAAAAAAAGACAGAGTCTCAAGCTGTTGCCCTGGGTAGAGTGTTGGTGTCACAGTTCACAGCAACCTCAAACTCTTGGTTGTAAGTGATTCTCCTGCCTTAGCCTCTCAAGTAGCTGCGCCTACAGGTACCCTCCGCAACACCCTGCTATTTTATTTATTTATTTTCTTTTTGGTTGCAGTTGTCGTTGTTTTAGCTGGTCCAGGCCAGGTTTGAACCTGTCAGTCTTGGTGTATGTGGCTGGTGCCCTACCCACCGAACTATGGGTGTTGCCCACCTTCCACTCCCCTTTTTTTTTTGATGCAAGATCTCACTCTACCTCAGGCTGGTATTGAACTCCTGAGCTCAGGCAATCTGCCCACCTGGGGCTCCCAGAGTGCTAGGATTATAGGCGTGAGCTACTTTGCCCAGCCCCAAGCTACCGTGCCCACCCCTGATGAGAGTTTTAAAAGAAGAGTTTAGGGTTCCGTGAAGAGTTTAACTGGAGGACCTAATTTTGTTTGGGATGAAATAAGTCACTTAATCACAATGAGCTAAAGAATGTCCCCAGGCAGAGAGAACATGGTGTTGAAGGTTTCTCAGCTGGGTGAGTACTTGGCTCAACCAAGAGCCTGAAAGTGGGCCTGCACGACTGCCTGCAGAGGAGGGAAGGTGGTGGAAGAGGGAGGCTGGCCAACATGGAGGCTTCCCTTAGGAGTCTCCCCTTAGGAGTCTTGCTCTGTCACCCAGCTTGGAGTTCAGGGGCACAATTACAGCCCACTATTACCCTTAAACTCCTAGACTCAAGCCTCAGTCCCCCAAGTAGCTGGGACTGTAGGCATGTGCCACTACTCCTGGCTAATTTTTTTTTTTTTTTTTTTGGATTGCTATGTTATTCAGGTTGGTCTCCAACTCTTTTTTATTTTTATTTTATTTACTTTTTTTAGAGACAGAGTCTCACTTTGTTGCCCTTGATAGAGTGCTGTGGTGTCACAGCTCACAGCAACCTCCAAATCCTGGGCTTACGCGATTCTTTTGCCTCAGCCTCCCGAGTAGCTGGGACTACAGGCGCCTGCCACAACGCCTGGCCATTTTTTGGTTGCGGTTTGGTCAGGGTCGGGTTTGAACCCACCACCCTCAGTGTATGGATCTGGCGCCCTACTCACTGAGCCGCAAGCGCTGCCCAGTTTCCAACTCTTGGCCTCAAGTGACCCTCCTGCCTTAGTCTCCCAACTTGTGCTGGAATTAGAGGCAAGAGCCACAGAACCTAGCCCACTGCCTGCCTCAAACATCACTTGGATGTCTTAACCAAAATGCAGGTTGAACATATCTACACTGAACTCTAGATAACCCCCAAACTTGCCCACCCAGAAACCCTAGGGTCTTAGCTCCTTCCCTCCTCTCACCTCCCTGCTCAACCCAAGCCCTATCCCTTGCCAAGTTCATGCTCCTCTGTACAGTGACCACCACTTTGGCCCAGTTTTCTCCTTGGCTGAACCTCTGCACTGACAGTTTGTCCTGCCCCTTCCTTCATGCCCCTCCCATCTCCTCTTTACATACTGGGTTGAGGGTCACTGAAGGGAAGGGACCCCTTTCACACCCCATCTTTCAGGTCCTGAGCACTACCCAGTTCCTCACACTTCAAAGGCTGTCATGTTTATGTCCACCCTCATCCAGTGAGCTGACAAACTCCCTTTATCCTTAAAGAACTAATGGAAGTAGCTCCTCTGGTGTTGTCCTCCTGGCCCCTTCCCCTTCTTTGTACTACTGTGGCACCCCAAATTTGCCTCTTTCCAGCACTGGCCATGTTTGCATCATAATTGTTTTCCTAAGTAGTTGTGTCCTGTCTCTGCTAACTACCTTCGTGTGAGTGATCACTTCCCCAAATGCCCCACCCTTCATCTGGTGTGCTCCTATCTGTTTTTTAGGCTTAGCTCTGACATGACTGCCTCATTTGTTCATCAGGTATTTATAGGACACCAGCATCGGGCACTAAAATAGAGGCTGGAGTTACTGTAATGTTGCTCACAGCCTCCTAAGGCGGGAGAGACTTGAAAATGGTGCGGCAAGATCACACTAATGGGTGGCAAGGTGGCCTGGGCACTGAGGCAGGCCCTGTGGGAGAATTTACACTGGGACAGTGGGAGCCCTGCCCTGTTCTATCTGCCCAGGGCAGATAGAACAGGGCAGATAGAAAAGCAAGATGGGCAGATAGAAAAGCAGAACAGGGCAGATAGAAAAGCAAGATGGAAGAGCTGAGAAAAAACATATAGGGCTTCTAAGTTTGCTGAGAGGAGAGGGGCCTACTTTGTGGGGAAGATCTTGGGTTAAGTATGGAGATAAAGTGTTTGGGGATGTTGGATGTCTCTGTGGAAATGCTTGATGGGCACTGCAAATGCAGTGGGGAGCTTAGGAGAGAGGTGCTCTGGAAATAGATGGGGGCACAGGCTGGATGCATGCATGTGGCAGAGGGCGTACTATGGGGAGAGGACAAGCCTGAGGTCAGAGCACTTGGAACTCTGATGTTTTAGGGGTATCAGAGGAACTGGGTCTTGGGAGGCCAGGGGGCTTGCAGAAGAAGGATGATGACCTACCTGAAGCCATTTCCCTGTGCTCAAGGGTGGAGACCCTGCATTTTGTTTCTATCTTCCCCACCCTTGAGGTTCCCTTTGTTTCTCTCAGAGTGAGGAGTCTACCTGCTAGAGTCTCAGCTGACCCTGATGGGATGGGCACAGCATGGAACATTTCCAGTGCCTTCCGAAGAGATCCAATGTGCGGCTCTGGCCATTTGTGGATGGTGTGCTCTGGGGGTGTTTCTCTTCCAAAATAGATTTTTGTTATAGGAAGTAGGGGGAATCACAAATACTTGCCTCTCCCCTCTGGAAAAACTCAGGGACAACCTTTTCCAGGTATAACCATGAGCCAAAAGCAGAGCTGGAGCTGTCAGCTGTTCTGATGTGACCAGGCCAGAGGCCTGGGAGTAGCCTGGTAATGGGTGGGCTACCGTGGAAGGTATGAGCACAGACTAGGCCTTTGGCAACCCCCTGTTCTGGTGTTTCTTGCAGCTGGACCAAATCTGTATTTCTTTTGATGAAGGCAAAACCACAATGAACTTCATTGAAGCAGCGTTGCTGATCCAGGGCTCAGCCTGTGTCTACAGTAAGAAGGTGGGCCCCTCCTGGCTGGGACTCTTGCCTCACACCTGGCTTCTGACCTGCTTTGCTGGCACTCAGGCCTCACCTCTGATGCCTCGACACCTCTTAACAGCAAAGAACAAGTTTGGACTTACAGTGGTACATCCAGGCAGGGAGGGTCTTGTGTGCTGGTAGGTTCTGTTGTCCCAGCAGATGACACCTGGTGCACGTCCATGGCAACAGCCTGTGGTGGCACATGCACAAATCTGCCCTTCCTCTGCCCACCCTTGTGAGTGCTTCAGCTCTCATCCTAGTGGTGGGACCTTTTGTTCTGTGGAGTTGTGAGGAGCAAGAGAGAGGTAGAGGTCTGTCAGGAGCTATGGTGGCCATTAGCAACCAGCAAGGGCTTCTGTAGATGGGGTGGTACCAGCCATGACTTGGTGGAGAGGGGCTCTTCTGGAGATGCTGGCACATGAGCAGAGGAGCAGGAGGGATGCAGGCCCTGGCAAAGCAGGTGCTGTGCATGGGAGGCCTGGTCTGCAGGGCTTGGCCACCCAGGAGCTTAGGGACATGTGTATATTCAGCACCATGGTGCTATCAGTGTCAGATGGAGAAGGCCATGCTTGTTGCTGTGTGAAGAGTAGGGGGCAGAGGGGAAAAGTAGGTAGCCTCAGCTGATAGAGTTATTTACATGATACTACCAGTTTGATTTGGGAATTTTTTGGTTTTTTTGAGACAGAGTCTCAAGATGTCGCCCTGGGTAGAGTGCTGTGGTGTCATAGCTCACAGCAACCTCCAACTCTTGGGCTCAAGCGATCCTCTTGCCTCAGTTTTTTTCTATTTTTAGTAGATATGGGGTCTCACTTTTTGCTCAGATTGGTCTCAAACCTGTAAGCTCAAGCTATCCAGTTTCCTTGGCCTCCCACAGTGTTAGGATTACAGGTGTGAGCCACTGCGCCCAGCTAATTTGGGAATTATTTTTGGTAGCACAATGGGCAGGACTTGTGCTAGATGCTTGGAGACTTCACAATGTACAGCAGCATCTGGCTGGGAACGCTTTGGGTGATGGTTGCAGACCACAGAGTGTGGGCCTCTCCTTTGCATGCCCTCACTGCCTACTCTGGTTACCAGGTGGAGTACCTCTATTCACTGGTCTATCAGGCTCTCGATTTCATCTCTGGCAAGAGGTGAGTGCTGAAAGTGGGAGGCGGGGCAGAGGCCATCTTTGTAGCCCCACTTGTGTGTAGCCTGCGAGGCCTCTGCGTTCTCCTGGGATGCCCATGGAATGTGCTCTCCCAGGCGGGCCAAACAGCTCTCTTCAGTGCCAGAAGACAGGGCCAGTGGGGATGCCAGTTCAGGGGATCCCCTGGAGGCAGAGGATGAGGTAAGGTGCCTTGGACATTGGCTCTGTCCCCTGCATGCTTGGCCTGGGCCTCATTCCATGAATTCTCCTACTTCCCCACAGTTCTTGTCACTAGATGACTTCCCTGACTCCCGGGCCAATGTGGATCTGAAGAATGAACAGGCCCCCAGTGTGAGTGTCCCAGCCCCTTTAGCTTGGGGTGGGATTGGTTGGCACTTTCCCTGGTAGGTGTTGGAAGATATTGCCCTGTGTGGGTTCCTCTCTTGGAGTCTGAGGGATGCTCACCCGGCCTTGGCCTCCACACAGGAGGTCCTCACTGTCCCCCTCCTGCCCATGGCTCTGGTGGCCCCTGATGAAATGGAAAAGAACAGCTACCCCCTGTGCAGGTAGGGCCTCAGCCTGGCAAGGGGAGGGGAGGCCTGCTTGGGAAGGGTCTTCTCATCAGGTGTGTTTTCGCCAGCACAGCCGTCAGGGCGAAACTCTGGCTAGTCGGAAGGATTTCAGGATGAATACGTGTACTCCCCATCCCAGAGGAGCCTTCATGTTGGAGCCAGTGGCTGTGTCCCCCATGGAGCCCATGGGTATGTCCCCGGTGTTGAGAAACTGGAAGGGTGAGGGTTTGGATGTAGGGGGTTGGTGGGAAGGAAAGAGGAGAGGGTCTTCTGGAGGGAATGGTAGGGCTGTTCTCCCATGCCCCTGTCATAAACACAAGTGGTGGCCTATTAGGATTTGGGCTGCAGGGCAGCACCTGTAGGTCCGTGGGTAGGGCACTGGCCACATGTACTAGGGCTGGTAGGTTTGAACCCAGCCCCAGCTTGCTAAAAAAAAATTGCTGGGCATTATGGCAGGTGCCTGTAGTCCCAGCTACTCAGGAGGCTGAGGCAAGAGAATTGCTTAAGCCCAAAAGTTTGAGGTTGTTGTGAGCTGTGACACCATGGCACTCTACCAAGGGCAGCAAAGTGAGACTCTGTCTCAAAAAAAAAAAAAAAAAAAAAAAGAAAGAAAAAGGTCTTGGGCTGCACTGTGAGCAGTGGGTAAGCAAGCAAAGCTTCTCTGTGTTTACAGCTGCTCCCCCATCCCTTGAATCACTGCCTGAGCTCCGGCTCCTGTCAGATCAGTGGCGGCATTAGGTTCTCACAGGAGTGCAAGCCCTATTGTAAACTCTGTGTATGAGGGATCTGGGTCGTGCTCCTATGAGACCCTAATGCCTGATGGTCTGCAGTGGAGGTATAATGTGATTCAGTCATCCTGAAACCACTCCCACTCCCCCATCGCTCTATTTGCAGAAAAACTGTCTTCTGTGAAACCTGTTTCTGATGCCACAAAGGTTGGGGACTGCTGTTGTAGGGTAGCTTATACTTACCACCTCTGGTTTTTGCAGTTCCCTCTCCCCAGGTGTCATTCTGCCTGTGTAGGTCAGCTGAGACTTGGCCCTTCTCTAGTCCTTTCTGTGTCTTGATTATACATTGAGCAGGTCATAGCTGATCTCAGTACCCAGGTCCCGATGCCTGGCCTGGGACCCTACTCTCTCTTCAGCCAAGGCCCGCGGTCTGTTGTAGTTTCGCATCCTGCTGGTCCCTTAGAAGAGCTAGTCAGATGCCAAGTGGGGACCACCTGGGGAAGGGGCTGGGCTGACCCTGTCTAATCCCTGTTTTAGATGCCAGGAGAGCTGAGGAGCAGCTGATGGAAGTGTCTATGTGCAGGAGCCCTGTCCTTGTTTTTGGCTTCTCCCAGGAGCCAGGTGAGGAGAGCTCCCTGATGGGATTGGCAGGGCTGTAGAGGGCACCAGGCAGGTAAAGCTCAGTCAAGGGAAGCTTGCTGCCATCTGGTCTCCAGGCTCCTTGGAGCTGACTGGGCTCTCTCTTCCTGCCTAGGCACCTCTCCAGAAGGCCCGATGCCCAGTGGCAGAGGTGAAGACGAAGACGCCGAGGAGAGGGAAGAGCTTCTTGAGGCTGCAGCCCCCAAGGCTCCTCTGGAGTCCAAGGAGCCCAGGAGCCTGCAGCAGGTGGGGCCCACACTGAGGCCTATAGGGATGGAGCTGTCAGCTGGGCAAGCCCATGAGGATAGTTTTGTGGCCTTTTGGTTTCTGCCCAGAAGTCAGAGTGTCCTGTAGCCAGAATTTTTGGTAGTACCCTCTGTGTCCCTTAGTCCCCAGATCAGAGCCCCTGCTCCTCAGAGGTGTGCTGGTGATCAGGGGTCCAAGCCTTATGGAGTTCTTGGCTATCTGGGATGGGAGCTGGTCCCCAAGGCTGCCTTTCCTGGGGTCAGGCTGGTGGGGCAAGGTCCGGAGGCCTCTGCTACCTCCCTAAACCCCTGGGGTTCAATTCTATCCAACTCAGAGCTAAGGAGTCCTTTTTGTCTATTAACCCCCAACCTGATGATGCATGTAGAAGAAAATGTTAACGTTTAAAAAAAAAATTTTTTTTTGAGACAGAGTCTCACTATGTCACCCTTGGTAGAGTGCCATGGCGTCAAGCTCACACTCTCGGGCTCAAGCGATTCTCTTGCCTCAGCCTCCCAAGGAACTGGGACTACAGGCGCCTGCCACAATGCCTGGCTATTTTTTGTTGCAATTGTTTAGCTGGCCCAGGCCGGGTTTGAACCCACCACCTTTGGTGAATGTGGCTGGCGCCTGTAACCACTGTGCTACGGGTGCTGAGGGAACATTTAAAAATTCTGGTTAGTTGGGCAGCACCTATGGCTCAGTGTGTAGGGTGCCAGCCCCATATACTAAGGATGGCTAGTTCAAGCCCGGTCCCGCCAAACTGCAACAAAAAATAGCCGGGTGTGCCTGTGGGCTCAGTGAGTAGGGCAACTGGCCCCATATACTGAGGGTGGCAGGTTCAAACCTGGCCCCAGCCAAACTGCAACAAAAAAATAACCAGTTGTTGTGGCAGGCACCTGTAGTCCCAGCTACTATCGCCTAAGCCCTAGAGCTGGAGGTTGCCATGAGCTGTGACACTATGGCACTTTATTGAGGGCGACAAAGTGAGATTCTGTCTTAAAAAAAAATAGCCAGGTATTGTGGCAGGCGCCTGTAGTCCCAGCTACTCAGGAGGCTGAGGCAAGAGAATAGATTAAGCCCAGGAATTGGAGGTTGCTATGAGCTATGTGACTTCACAGCACTCTATCAAGGGTGATAAAGTGAGACTCTGTCTCTACAAAAAAAAGAAAATCTGGTTGGTAGATAACATGAATGCCATTCTATTTTTTCTTAATGTTTTTAAGGAAAAAAATGTTACCCCCATGACTACCATTTTGTATTTGTTCTATCAGAACTTTCTGCCCCAAGAGCTCCCTGCAGGGTCCTGATTTTGGCTCCAGGACAGAGCTGCTGGGTACCCCAAGGCTTGGGTAGAGAAGGGGAACAAGGGGACTGTAGGCTATTTTTTTGCAGAGCACTGCCCTTCCCCGGAAGTACCTGCTGCGTGAGCGAGAAGGGGCCTTGGAGCCTGTGTCCCGGCTGAAGGTAGGAGTGTCTACCCCCAGCAGAAGAGGACAGACATAGGGATCCCCTACCTGCCCCTCTTGCCCATGTTCCTGCTAGCCTTCGTGTTCCTACCCTGTGGCCATTCACACTTGCAAGGAATCTTCTTCCCAGAAATTAAAATCCCTTCCTGCACCTTTTGGCTCCCTTGAATGTCTTCTATGATCCTGGGTTGAGTGTGAGTCATCCTTATGTCCCCACATCTGCTTGTCCTCTATGCTCAGGAGACTCCAGACCCTTGGCAGAGTCTGGACCCCTTTGACTCTTTGGACTCTAAGCCCTTCAAGAAAGGTAACTGGTGGGGCACACCACTTAGGCATCCCTGGTTGGGCTTGCCAGGGCACAAGGTAGCCGGGTGAGTAGGCTGTGCACCCTGACCCACATTTGCACCAAGATGCCATCCTTGTCTGCCCTCCAGGCAGACCTTACTGTGTGCCCCCCTGTGTGGAGGAAGCTCCAGGACACAAGCGCAAGAGGAAGGGGACCACCAAGCTGCAAGACTTCCACCAGTGGTACCTGGCTGCCTGTGAGTAGGGCATTGGGCTGCTGGGAGATGGGGCAGGTCAAGGCCAGCAGGGAGGATTGGTACCCTTTTCCCCAACGCTATAAGCAGCCTTTGACCTGTGGGCATGGTGGGCCTGGCTCAGTTCTTGCTGACTGAGTCCTCTCACAGACACAGACCATGCTGACAGTAGGAGGCCCCGGCGAAAGGGTCCATCATTTGCAGGTGAGCTAAGCCCCCATATGCACTTTTCTCAGGGAAGATAGTCTTACTCTGCCTTCTTCCACCTCAACCCCCGCCTGGGGTGACCTGAGACTGTGGGCGGACTGGCATGGATCTGGGCAGAATAGGGAGTCTCACTAGGTTTTTGCAGACATGGAGGCCCTATACTGGGAGCATGTGCGGGAACAGCTGGAAACCCTCCGGAAGCTGCAGAGGAGAGAGGCAAGTACTGCTGGCCAGGACCCTATGGGGGCTCCTGAAGGGAGAGGACAAATACCTTTCACAGGTGTTTTCTCGGCACAGATGGGCAAGCAGTGGCTGCCAAGGGTTGAGGAAGGGCTGTGGCCCTTGGAGGAAGACCGCCTAGAGGAGTCCCTAGAGGATCTGGGGGCAGCAGGTGAGTACCCAATTGGGGGAATTGGGGCACAATACCTGTAGCCACTGACCAGCTCCCTGTGGCATCTCTCCTGCCTCTCAGCAGGTGACTTTCTAGACCCTGAAGGGTATGTGGACCCTGGAGGGACAAGCCCCAGAGAAGATGCTGCCCTGGGTAGGTGTGAGAATGGGCAGCTGGCCAGGGAGTGCTGAGGGTCTGCTGGAGCTGAGGACTAGAGGGAGGGGAGAGTGGCCCTACAGCTGCAGTAGCTCACAGCTGCCATTGCCCCAGATACAGAGGCCATGCCAGTGTCCCTGAGCTATGAGGAGCTGGTTCGAAGGAATGTGGTAGGTTTGGGTCAAAGTGGGTGGGCCATTGGGGGAGAGGGCCCAGGACTCCACACAGGAGGCAGTAACTCCCCTTGGTCCTCCCCTAGGAGCTATTCATCGCCTCCTCCCAGAAGTTTGTGCAGGAAACAGAGCTGAGTCAGCGTGTCAGGGACTGGGAGGGCATGGTCCTACCCCTGCTGCAGGAGCAGGTGAGGTAGTGCTGTTGCCAGGAACTGGAGCCTCCTGTGCCTGCCTTGGGTTTGTCCAGGGTCTGGCTCCGGTCTGTAGCCAATGTACCCCTCCACTGTGCAGGAGCAGCATGTGCCCTTTGACATCCATACCTATGGGGACCAGATGGTCTCACGGTTCCCCCAGCTCAACGAGTGGTGTCCCTTTGCAGAGCTGGTGGCTGGCCAGCCTGCCTTCGAGGTGTGTCGTTCCATGCTGGCCTCCCTGCAGCTGGTAAGTGGCCTGGGGTGCGTGGGAGGGAAGACAGTCCCCAGACCCTTCTGATGCCATGTCCCTGTAGGCCAATGACTACACGGTGGAGATTGCCCAGCAGCCAGGGCTAGAGACCGCCGTGGACACCATGACCCTGAGATTACTCACGCACCAGCGAGCCCACAAGCGCTTCCAGACATATGCTGCCCCCTCTATGGCCCAGCCCTGACTGGGGAACACTGAGGCAGGGGCTGGGGTGGATGGGTCTGGGAGCCCCATCCCACGTGTGTGCTGAGCTGTGCTTTCTGGCTCACTCGTATTGCTTCCTGGCTGGCCCAGCCTAATAAAATGGTGTTGCCATCCCATTCACCCCTAAAAACAAGCCCTTTATACCTGCTCTGTGTAAAGACGAGTGCTGCTTAGCCTCCACAGCTGCTGATACATACAAAGATCAAGACACCCCATTTAATGACAAGCTGTGGTCCTTTATGGTAGGATGCTGCAAAAGGCATCCATGTGTTGTTGCACACTGTCTGCAATCTGTGCAGCTGACCTGCCCCGGCTGTAGTAGTCAGTGAAGAGGCCGTCAGGGTTGAGTAGGTAGATGGCGATGGAGTGGTCTACAATATAGTCCTGGTCCTCATCCTTGGGACCTGCTCTGTAGTATACGCGGTAGCTGCGGCTAGCCTGGGCAACCTGTTCAGGGGAGCCTGTCAGGCCTAGAAGCCTCGGATGGAAGTCTTGCACATACCGGGCCATGGCTGCAACATCGTCCCGCTCAGGGTCTACAGTGATGAAGATAGGCTGCACTGGAGGCAAGCCAGGCTTGGCTTCCAGCTGCCGCACCACCTGCACCAGTTTCTCCAGTTCATCCGGGCAGATGTCAGGGCAGTGAGTGAAGCCAAAGTACAGCAGCACCCACTGGCCCCGGAAATCAGCCTTGCAGCAAGCCTGACCTCGGTGGTCCAGTAGGCTGAAGTCACCCTGGCCCACAGCAGCCTTGCGTAGGGCCTCTGTGCGCAGCTGTTGCCTCTGCTGCTCCTTCTCAGCCCTTGCTGCCAGCCAGGCTCCGCCTAGTCCCACCCCAAACAGGGCTGTGACCAGCAGCTTGGTTCTCAACCCAGGACCCTGGGACTGGTCCTGCCCATTCATTTCTGCAGGGCCATGCCTTGAAGAGAGCCAGGACTCCAAATGCAGGGGCTGGCCTGGGGTTCTAGGGAAGCCTGGGGGCTTAAGCTGAGAGAGCCCATGCCAAGTCCTGGGCCCCTGAGTCAGTAGCAGCATGGTCCTGGTGCACCTGGAAAAGAGCAAAGGTGTCAGGAGCCAGAAGGAGGAGACAAGATGCCTTGGCTGCCCCCACCACCCTCTGGAAGACCAACCCTACCTCTAGGCTTGTCTGCAACTGCTCACTTGAGCTCAGAACTGCTCTACCTCTGAAACTTCTAAACTCCAGCTTAAGCATCAGCAAACACCCACAGCAGTGGCTCCAGTCCTTTAACCCCAGAACTTAGCCTGGCTCATCCCACCAGTCTTGCACCTGAGGAGCTGACCATCTTGTCACATGAAGGATTCCGAGTGCATGCCTTGCCTGGATTCCTGAGCATGTATCATTTGCAATAAACCCATTTCTTGAAAGGAGATGGGTTACTCTGGCTTGCAATCTCCCGCCCTGAAAGTAACTGACTCCTCCAGCCCTTTCCTGACACTAGAGGCCGCTTAAAGCATGGCTCTTGGGCTCCCCACCCCCACCCCTGTTCAGCAGGGAACTTGAGCTCCAGCTTGGCCCCTCCTGTATTTAACCTTTTCTGGTAGAGGTACAAGATGTTTCTACCCTCCACAAAACAGGATCAAGCTTGGCTCCCTGCACACCCCGTCCCTGTCCGGTGACCTCTGTGCCTTTCCTACAGGGCCCTTCCTACAAAGCTCCCCACGTGCAAGTCTCAGGACTCCCCCCTCACCTGCTGAGAGGACTCCCCGGAGGGTTTTTGAATTGTGTCCTCCAACCCCAGGCCGAACGGTTCCCAGGCTTCGGCTGCGCCTCTAGACCTTTTCTAGACCATCTCGTGGACAGACTGGTCTCTGAGGGCCGCACGAAGCGGCACGCGAGACGCGACCACTTTAGAACTGTGCTCACAGACGAAGACCACTCCTGCATGCCTTGAGGCCGACTTTTCGCAGTGTCTCCCCAGGCAGCCCAGGTTGAACTCTTTCTTCTGGGGCTCTCGGTGCCAGGTGCGGCCAGTTCCTCCCCCCCGCCCCGCGTTTCCGGGTCCCGCCTCCCCCGCGATGCACGCCGGGACCCGTGTGCGCAGCCTTTGTGCCCGGCGCCAGAGCGCATGCGGGCGTGGGGGTGGGGGAAACAGGTCGAGGTCAGGTGTCTGGGAAAGCTGCCCGGCTTTCGCTCCCGCCCAGGCCACCCACGAGCTAGGCACCGACACAGCTTCCGGCTGTAGGTGTTTATTGCTGCGCGCCGGTCGGCGGCAAGATGAGCTCGGCGTAGGGCGAGGGGGCGGCGAAGGGCGCGCGGTTCGAGAGCACTAGCGCCCCTTGCAGGGCGCGACGCTGCGGGCCGCTGAGCGCGGGGCCGTCGCGGTGCACGCGGAGCCAGGGTGTCCCTGCGGGGTGGGGCGAAGCTGGTTAACAGGCGGCTGAGGGTGGTCAACCAGCAGGCAAGGGAGGCAAGGGAGGCCAGGGCGGCACTCACCGCGGCGCAGCCTCTGGCCCACGTCGACCAGCAGCTCGGCTCCCACCCCCAGCCGGAGCTGCTCCCCAGCGTGGCTGCGTCCGGCCCCGAGCTCGTGCAGCACGAGAGCCAGCGGCAGCGCGCGGATCAACTCCACAGTACCTGCGGGGAGAGTGCTGGGGTATGGGACATGCCTGGGGTGAGCGGGGGGCGGGGCTGAGGGAGGGGACCCAGCTGAAGTAGCTGATAGGGTTGGGGGAGGGCGTGGACCGGGCTTGTGAGGCTGGCTTTTCCGGACACTAACCATCTGCAGGCGTAAGCAGTTCCTCCTGCTCCCGGGCCCGGGGCAGCAGCTGCCGGCGTTGCGCGGGGCTCCCGGAGCACAGCGCTCGAGCCATGTTTGGGTCCACGCCCTGCCCCGCCAGCATTTGCTCGAAGTGGTCCCGGGCTGAGCCTTTGTCCAATGCTGCAGCCACCCGGGCGGCCCCCTCGGCCTGGGCCTCGGCCTGTCCGTTGAGCCAGAGCACGGCCCCCCCTGCCAGAGGGGCTGGGCTTACGCGCGGCAGGGGCATGGGCACCTCGCGGGGGACGGCTCTAGCAGGAAGCCCTGCTCACGCCGCCCCCCTTTCCCTCACCGAGCTTAATGACCAGATCCCGGAGGTCCGGCGGCCCTGCGCCATCCATGCAAAGCAGCGCCTCCTCTATCTCCAGGGCGTGGCCCACACTGCGGCCCACGGGCTTGTCCATGGCAGTTAAGGCTGCTGCGACCCGAAGCCCCAGGCCAGCCCCCACGCCGACCTACAGAGTCCTAGTTTAGTGTGGACCCCGCCCAGTCCATCACACACTCCAGCCTCTGCTGCACCCTGACTTGCCAGACCCCCAGGAGGAAGTCAGAAAAGGCTTGGGTTGGGAACCAGGAGCAAGCAATGTGCCAGACCTTAGTGCTAGGGGCCAGAAAGACATTGCACCTGGCCTCAGGTGTAGGGGCGCCTGTTGGAATGTGTTGGAGACAGGGACTGCCAGTGGGAAGGTGGTGGGACTAGATGCCCCAAGCAGCAATGTTGAGAGAGTGAGGTTAGAGGGATGGCCAGGTGGGAGGGCTGGAGGAGTGAGGGCAGGAGAGGTCATTGTCAAGAGGCCCAGCCCCATGGAGGGACCACAGGCTCCAGCAGTCAGGGTGCTCACCAGCACTCTGGCCAGCTCCCGGGCCTGCTCCTGGTTGGGGAACACAGCAGCCTCTCCGAACTTAACGTCCACCACCAGAGCCGATAGGCCCTCCACGACTTTCTTACTGAGGATGGAGGCTGTAGGGGGAGGCCCAAGGGGAAACAGTGGGGGATCTGGATCTTCGAGTGTCAGGACTGGCCAGAGGCCCTGAGCATGGAGAGCCAAGTCCCCTGGGGTGGGGTGGGGTGGCCTGGCCTAGTGTGTTGTGAGTCAGGTCACCCCCATGAGTTGGTGGTCAGGCATCCTATGGTGAAGGGAGATTCCACAGTCAGGGCACTCCTAATATGAGGACCTTGGCTGTGAGGTCAGGCATCTTTGACCTGTATTAGGCAGACCCTGGAGTCAGGTTGTGTTACCTGTGATAAGTGGCAGGCTGTCCACAGTGGCTGTCACATCTCTGGCAGCATACAGGATTCCATCTGCAGGAACCAGCTTCTCACTCTGCCCCACAATGCAGCACCCGACTTGCTCCAGCAGCACTTGCATCTGGTCAGACACCCCCACCCCCAGTGACCTAGATCAGTGGCCCCAGTCACATTGGTAGCCTTGACAGAAATCCAAGACTGTGACCAGTGATTGTCAGTGATTTTTTTTTTTTTTTTTTTTTTTGGAGACAGCCTCAAGCTGTTGCCCTGGGTAGAGTGCTATGGTATCACAGCTCACAGCAACCTCCAATTCCTGCGCTTAAGCGATTCTCTTGCTTCAGCCTCCCAAGTGGCTGGGACTACAGGTGCCCACCACAATGCCCAGCTATTTTTTGGTTCTAGTTGTCACTGGTATTTGGCAGGCCTGGGCTGGTTTCAAACTGGCCAACTCTGGTGTATGTGGCTGGTGCTGTAGCCGCTTGAGCTACAGGCTCTGAGTCTGATTATCAGTGATTTGTGAATGATTCTAAGTTCTCAGACCATCTTCCTGTTAGGATTCTGATCACTGTTCTATGGCCCCTTTAATGATCCTCATCAAAGCTCCATTGATGTTTTTTTTTTTTTTTTTTGAGACAGTCTTACTATGTTGCCCTTGGTGGAGTGCTGTGGCATCACAGCTCACAGCAACTTCAAACTCTTGGGCTTAAGGGATTCTCTTGCCTCAGCCTCCCAAGTTCTAGGACTATAGGCACCCTCTATAACGCCCGGCTACTTTTGTTGAAGTTGTCATCCTTGTTTAGCTGGCCTGGGTCAGGTTTGAACTCAGCCTGGGTGTATGTGGCTGGTAACCACTATACTACCAGCACTGAGCCACCACTGATGATTTGACCAGAGTCAAATGACTATCAATGACTCAGTGCGTAACTTTGATCAATATCCTCGTTATCAGTGATCTTTCAGTGATTTTGGCTCAGGTCTGCAACTGCCAGTCAGTGGTCCGTACCTGCTCTGGGTTCTGGATAGTGTTGAAGCCAGGGATAGACTCAAGCTTATCCAAGGTGCCCCCTGTGTGTCCTAGGCCACGTCCACTGATCATGGGCACCTAATGGGCAGAGATGCTGAGTATACCTGCACAGTACCCCCCAGCCCCATCTCCTTATGGCTCCTCACCTTTCCTGGTTAGGACTTAATGCTGGGGTTAAACAGTTTAAACAGTTGGCGAGTGTCCACCAGGTTGATGGCCTGGTGAAGGCAAGAGGTTGGTAACCAGCCCTGGGGACAGAAGACTGAGGAACAGAGGGAGAAGGGTACTCAATTCTTCCCTGAGAGTGCTGTCTGGGGGACTGAGGGGAAATGGGGGCTGGTAGTCTGCTGGTAGAACTTGGCCCTGTTCCAGTGGGCCTTGTCTGTGGCCTTTTGGGGGCCCAAGTTCTATACTGGGTGGTTGGGTGGTGGGAAGCTTGGATCTTGCCTTTGAGGGCTCTATGTGAGCCAGGAGTAGGGGGTTGGGAGCTGCCTGTGGATGAATTAGTTGCTGACTTGGGGGCCAGAGTTTCTGACCTGGAAAGGAGGTAGTCTCTAACCTTGCAGCCGCATGCAGCCAGGGCAGGTGCCAGGACTAGGCTGACCTTGTCACCCACGCCCCCTGTGGAGTGTTTGTCCACAAGCTGTCGTTGCCAGGCCTCTGGCCACTCCAGCTGCTGCCCAGACTTGGCCAGTGCCAGGGTCAGCGCCGAAGTCTCCTCCAGGTCCATGCCCCGAAGTCGGATAGCCATGAGCATGGCCCCTGGGTGTGGGGTACAATGGTGTGAGCAGCATGAGGACCCTGTTGTCCCCAGAGTAATGGGTTATCTCAGGGCCAGTTATGACTGTGGCATTCCCAAGGAGAGATAGCCTTTGGGGCTGACCTCCCATTCTGTATCAGAGACCTCCCCACGCACCGATCTGTGCCCCCTGCGCAGTCCCATCCACCACAGCACCCACGAAGCTTCTGATGTCTGCCTGGCTCAGGCGGCCTCCATCTCGCTTTATGCGGATCAGCTCTGGGAGCTGCTTGGGCTCTGGCTGGGGCTCAGGAAGTCCCTGGCTCCCTTCCCCTGAGAAGTCACCAGGTGTGACTGGCACAGGGGTTTCCGGAGTTCCTGGGGTCACTGCGGCTGCCATAACTCCGGGCCTGCAGGGATATGAGATGCAGCTGGCATTTGCAGCCGCCCCTGTCCTTGTGTTTGCTGCCACAGTGCACCTGTCCCAGCCCTGTTTCTGTGTGTCTCTGGTGTCTGCCCCTCTGTACCTTGTCGCTGTCACCATGTCTTTCCACTTCTCTCTCTTTAGTTCCCACTGATCTGCTTCATAGTTTGAAACTGGGCTCATACCTGTTCAGTACCACAGCTCCTTTCTTGCCCTGCCTCCCCGGGGCCAGTGGATCAGGACCGCAGGATTGGTTTCAGGGGCAAGGTCGATAGCAGCCCACAAACTGTGGGCGGGTGGGGGTATTCCAACCGGCAAGCTGGACTCACCTATCGCTGCCTCTATGAAGTCTTACCCTCTACCGTTCTGGCCCTTCCAAAGTGCCCAGGGAGGGTGCAGGACTTCCGGAAATTCAAGGGCCCAGAGGAAGCGGTGGGTGAGATCACTGGCTCCTTGTGCTCTGCTTTCCCCTCCTGCGGTAGTCTCCAGTCCCGGAATCCAGGGTTCCAGAGCGTTAGCCTCCCACCCTGGGTGGGGTCTTGATGGTCGGACACCGCCCAAACGCTGCGACTCCGTACCTGGCCTAGCCCTGGCACTTAGGCCCGGTCCCCGGTTGGTTCCAAAGTTCTGACTCTGCGTGACACGTCCCCCGTCCGGCCCCACCTCTAAGCCTCGCCCCAGGCCGCGCTGGCGCACAGAGAGAAGCGGACACGATGTTGACTCAGAATCTTTAAGCAAACAATTGTGGGGCCACGCCTGCCCGGGAGGTCAGTCGTCCACGTCAGTCACTAGCGGGGCCAAGTAGTCCGAGTGCCTGATTCCGAAGGTCCAGCCACGAGGCTTCCGGCGCTGCGGGCCCAGGAGAGGCCACTGACCTCGCAGCCCCAGCTGTCCGGCTCTGTCCCGGGACCCGTTCCCCCGGAAACCCTGATCCCTGACCTCAGGCCCTCATCCCTCGCCTCTGACCATTAAACCCTATTTTCCAGACCACCTGGTCCACGTTGTAGGCTGCGGGCCCCGGCTTCAGATCGTTGTCTTGGGGAACCGAAGTCCGTGCTAGCATCGTGAATTGGGGGGCCCGGGGCTTGTAGATCCCAGGGTTCACCACGTGGTAGGCGCAAGGCCCCGGGGTCTGCGGGAGGGTGGAAGTGGGTACTGCGTATGGTCCCCATTCCCTGCTGACTACTTATCCTCTTCTGTCCTCCCAGTAGACCCTTCTCTACGTTGAACTCGTCGACCCCTCCCCCCACCTTGCTAAGGTCCTCGAAGAAGCTGCCCACTGTGCTGCGGCCGTAGATGGAGTAAGTTGGGGCGGAGACTTTGCCGATGACGTGCGGGCCCAAGAGCGAGGGCACGGTGTAGGCCCCGGGACCTGGGAAGGAGCCAGCAAGGGGTCGCCTGGGGCGGGGTACGTCTTTGCGGACAGGTGCGGGGTCTCCCAGCGCCTAGAGGGCGGTCCAGGTTCTGGGGTGGGAAGGTCCACAGTGCTGGGACCACCTGACCTCACCTGGGCTCTGGTGCTCCGCGAGGACACCCCAGTTTCTAGGAGCAATGGTGTGCCGGGGCGCACTAGGGTATGTCGCGTTCCCAGCTCGCTCTGGGAAGTACCTGCCTGTGAGGGAACCACGAGTGTGGGCGGGAACGGGCCGGGGAGCCTGGTAAGAACGGGCTGGGGTCCTGAAGCTAGGGGGAATTGGAGTCAAGATTTGTCATGTGGGGATCGGGGTTCTGGATTTTGAGCTCTGAATATGGGGTGCCGAATAGTGGGTGTTAGGGTATCCCAGGGGATCTTTGGGGCTCAGGTGGAGGATTCCCAGGTGGGCCTCCCTGGAGGCAGCTCTGCGTTGGGGTGGCCGGGGTCCCAGTGTCCTGACCCGGTCCAGGAGTGAGGAAAGGCGCCGAGTGGCGCAGGCGGCCCAAGATGGAGTAGGCGGGCGCGCCGTCCGGGCCGCGCACTGTCATGCGGGCGGGTACCAGGTGACCCGGCCCGGGGCTGCAAGTTGTCTGCTGCGTGGGAAGGCGTGCACCGAAGGTAAAGGCGGGGGCTCGAGGCCGCGACGGGTCGTGTAGGATATAGCCTGAGGGAGCGTACGGGTCTCGGCGTCACTGCCCGGCCCAGCCGCTCTCAGCCCCCTGCACAGACCCCTCCTCCCTGCTCCCATCCTCCTCGCTTTCCGGAACAATTCGCTGCGCTTAGGCATGGACCTACCCACTTTTTTTCTTTTTTTGGCTAGGGCTGGGTTTGAACCCACCCCGTCCGGCTTAAGGGGCCAGCGCCCTACTCCTTTGAGCTACAGGCGCCGCCCTGGACCCACCGGTTTCTCGCCCGTCCCCAGCCCCCGGCACAGCACTCCCAGTCAAGTTACAGACCTCCCTAGTCTTTTCTCCTCTCCCCGCACAATGCCCACTACCCTGGCCATCACTACCGCAGAGCCCGCCCCTGCTACCTGTGCTGGATGGCAGCTTGTATTTGGGCCCGGGGCCTCTGTGGTGCGCCCCGATGGGGCCACGGGGCCGGTGTGGCCGCCAAGGGCCAACCCAGATGTCTGAGTCCATAGAGCGGCTTGGGGGCGCTGACGGCTAGCAGCACCTGTGGACAGAAGGGGGAAGCTGCGGACCCTCCACCCTGACTTCGCTGGGTATGCACTTTTCTGCTCGCCAGGAATCAACCGTACTCAGGGGCGGGGCCCACTTGGTATCCCCGGCTCCAGGCAAACAAACAGCTTTCCCTACTCTCTGGGGGGCGTGATCTCTGCCGCCTGCCCCCTAAACAAGTTAAGTAGGGCCGGGTACTCCTTTGTGCCAAGTTTAGACCCAGACTTATTGGCTCTGTGGGGATCAGGAAATTTTAGTGGTATTGGGAAAGGATGACTGGGGGAGGGGCTGACCTGTGCTGCACGGCAGGCCCGAAAACAAAGCGAGGCGACTGGATCCCCACCCCCCTGCCTCCTGCCCTGCCCAACTCCCAGACCCCATTGTTTCTCGGTCTGCTTCCTGGCAACCGGACTGACTGCCCTCCCAACCTCTCTCTGCTCCTACCCGACTCTCCAGTCCCCACCCTCAGTACAGGAGAGCAGTACAGCTTGGATCCCTGGACTCTGGCACTGGAAGGGCAGTAGATTGACTCCAGACCAGAATGCTCTCTCATCCTTCCCCAAGGTTCAGTAGGCCAATTCTGGCAATAGACAAATCTGCAGACAAAAAACAGGTATGGGAATAAAGGAATTGAATAATACAAACAGCAAGGTCAAATTAATTATATTCAGAGAGAAAGTTTTGCATCTATTTAAGCTCGTGGACTATTTGCAACAAAACAAAACAGAACAAGTAAGTGGCCACAAAATAATCATGTAAGTTGAACAGAGAAGCTCTAGGCGTGGGTGCTCAGTGAGTAGGGCACCGGCCACATACACCAAGGCAGGTGGGTTTAAGCTGGCCGGGGTCTGCTAAACAGTGACAACTGCAACCAACAAATAGTCTGGCATTGTGACAGGCACCTGTGGTCCCAGCTACTCGGGAGGCTGAGGCAAGAGTTGCTTGAGCCAAAGAGTTTGAGGTTGCTGTGAGCTGTGACGCCTCGGCACTCTACCAAGGGGACATAGTGAGACTCTGTCTCTAAAAAATAATATGTATATATATATGAATAAAATATAAAGATTTGTGATGTCAAGAAAATCAGAAATGTCATGAGGAATAAAAATAAATTCCAATAACAGCAAAATACAAACGCTTAAAAAAAATCTGGATCAAAAAAGAGACTTGTCTGAAACACTGCAAAAGTAGATTCCCTTCATACCCAACTCCTATAGGATGCAGCCACAGCTATATTCTTAGGAAAATGTAAGAACCCTTAAAAGGACTTCATTTTTAATTTTATTGCTAATTTTTTTCACTCACGGAATAGATTCAAATTGCCCTGAATGTATACTCATTTTTTTTTTTTTTTTTGAGACAGATCTCACTATGTCACCTTCATAGCTCACAGCAACTTCAAACTCTTGGACTTAAGCAATTCTCTTACCTCAGCCTTCCAGTAGCTGGGACTACAGGCACCAACCACAACTCCCAGCTTTTTTTTTTTTTTTTTGTCATTGTTGAAAGTGTCCCATGAAACCCCTTGTTCGGAGACACAGAGGAAAGTACTGCTAGACAGAATGATTGGAATGAAAAGGGGGACTGAGGCTCTATCAGGCACATAGCTGACACCCATGTTTATTGAGTTCCTTATAAACTTATCTTAGTAAAGGTTAAAAATAGCAAAAAGAAGCGAAACAAGGTAAGATGTTAAAACTGCCATTAAAAACTCCAAATCAGCACAAAACTGCTACTAATCACATGCACAGTTAAAAAAGGCATTTTTACTTCAGACTTAACCACAAAAGCACCAGGATGTCTGTTCCTGTTTGCCCATTTCCTTTAAGCTAAAACTGACTACTGTTGTGTAAGTAAGGGGGGAAATACAGGAAACAGCAGCCCACTGCCTCAGAAAGTGTTATCTCCAGCTACAACCTGGCGAAACCCACCAGCTACCTTATCTGTAAACATGTGACTGTCTGCTTTTAGGCAGATTTAAACATATTCTCAGAATAAGAAGCTTAGAGTCACGTTCCTCAGGGAGCACATAAGAATAAACTACTATGCTTAGGTACGGGGGAAGCTGCACCCCAACACATTGTTTAGTAGGCCCTGGCTGGGTTCAAACCCACCAGCCCTGGTGCATGTGGCTGGCGCCCTAATCATTGAGCTATAGGTGCTGAGCCCGTATACTCATTGATGAAGAAAAATTAAAAAAAATTTATCTTAGGCTTGGCGCCCATAGCACAGTGGTTACAGAGGCTGGCGGGTTCGAACCTGGCCCCAGGCTAGCTAAAACAACAATGGCAACTGCAACAAAAAAATAGCCAGGGGTGTGTATACACCAAGGGTGGTGGGTTCAAACCTGGCCCTGGCCAAACTGCAAAAACAACAACAACAAAATAGCCAGGCATTGTGGTGGGTGCCTGCTGGGAGGCTGAGGCAAGAGAATTGCCTAAGCCCAAGAGCTGGAGGTTACTGTGACACAGCACTCTACTGAGGGCAACAGAGTAAGACTCTGTCTCTTAAAAAAAAAAAAAAAAAAAATAGCCAGGCACTGTGGCAGATGCCTGTAGTCCCAGCTACTTGGGAGGCTGAGGCAAGAGAATCGCTTGAGCCCAAGAGTTGGAGGTTGCTGTGGGCTGTGACACCATGGCATTCTACCGAGGGTGGCATAGTGACACTCTGTCTCAAGAAAAAAATAATTAGAAAAAAAGTAAAAGAATGAAATTTATACCTAGTGGGTACAATGCACACTACCTGGGTGAAGGACATACATAACTTTGACTTAAATGGTACAAAAGCAATTTAATCAAAATGTTTGTATCCCCATAACATTCTGAAATAAAATTTTTTAAAAAGGAAAAAAAATTGTTCTGCATTGCATTCGTAAGTCATGATATCACTTTGTACTTCACAAATATGTCTATGATTATACATTGTCAATTTACCATGAAATGTTTATTTTTAATTTTTTCAGTCATGTTTGTTAAGTGCTTAATGTCATTGGGAGTTTGTCTTAGTGCCTATAGCTCAGCGGCTAGGGCACCAGCCACATACACTGGGGCTGGCAGGTTTGAACCCAGC